ACAGGATTCCCTGGATTTCCTAACTAACAGATTCAGAATCCCTGAGATTTAGTTGCATTGATTTGACCTGGTCACACAGTATATGTGTGGTGTTTTATTGATTTGCACATTGAAAGAAAGTCCTTCTACTTTTCCTTGATTGCCTTCTTTTATTTTTTTCCTGTCTGTTCTCCCCTCTGGTGAGTGCAGTATGCGCATTGGTGACTGCTGACCCTAAGGAACTGATGATGGTGATGGTGTATGCGTGTGTAATATAGGGGCATGTTTGGAGGTCAAAGAACAACTTTTGGGCATTGGTTCTCCCCTTCCATTGTGGGTTCTGGGGATCACATTCAGGTCACCAGGCTTGGTGGTAGATACTTTTACCCACTAAGACATCACACAGGCCCAAGGAATGTGGTTTTAAAGCTTGAAAATGTTCCAGGTCTGATTTGAGTGGAGAGGGATCACTGATATTTCTGACAAGAAAATAGACCCTTTTTTGTGCTGCCTCTACTGGAGTCTGGCAGTGAAGAACTGTGCCCCATTCAGGCATGTGGGTTCTGGCTCGATGGACTGGGCAGATGAAGGTGAGGTGGGCTTGGGTCAGGCTGGCTTGGATTGAGGAAGAAAAGCTGAGTGATACTTCTAGACTTTTGAAACTGGGGCTAAATTCTACTTGCTTTGTCCCAGCTGAATGGCAGGCTTTGGCTGTATGAACAGCCAGAAGCTAGAGGAACCAAGTCTCAAAAATTGTACTGGTGTTACTCAGTACCCCAAAGGTGCTCCCCTGTGTGTGTGTGTGTGTGTGTGTGTGTGTGTGTGTGTGTGTCCCGCTGCCAGCCATGAAAAGATAGGAAGGACATGGACAAGCATATCACAGAGTGAAAGAAGCCCACCTCAAAGGGCTGCATACATGCAACATTCTGGAACACACGTGTTCCACATCTAAATATCTATGTATCATTGCAAAATTTAAAAATTGAAGTTTTCTCTTGAAAGTAATATGTACATACTTATTGTAGAAATAAACAAGAGACAGAAAAGAAAAGCAAACAGAGTTCTGAGATTTCAGAGCTACGTAGCCGTTGTTAGATATGTTGCCCACCTGTGCCCACATGTTTCCCCACAAGAATACACTCGATATTATTTTTGTTGAACTGTTTCCATTTGTTAAAATTGCATGAGCATCACTCTATGTTACTGAAGACCTGGTTAATATTTTGCCTATACAGGAGGTTTCTCTTTGGCTTTTTCACAATGACTGTTGCTCAACAGCTAATACTTATTTTTCCAAATTTCCCCTCTAAGTTGTTTCTGTGAGTGAATGCCTCTAAGAGTAAAGGTTAAGAAAGAGAGCAGCAGAGTCCAAAGGCCATTGGCATGTAAAGGCTTTTGATTAGTATTATCAAACTACTGGACCAAATTGCCCTCATCTACACTGGTGCTTCACAATTGCCCGGAAAGTTCCTTTGTAAGCCAGCCTTTGCTAGTGGGGCAGCCTCCAAATGCTTTTCTGAGCACAGTGAGACTAAACATTCATTTAGATGTTCACTGGCCATTATTATTTTCCTCTTGACAGTTGCTAATTTGGGATGTGACTCGTGTTGCACTGGCCTCAAAAGAAAAGGGCTTGCTTGTGACTTTCCTACGGCTGTCTACTGGGGTCCCCCTCTTACTGAAAACATTTTATAGCATGCCGTTTGTTGTTTGTGTCATATATTGCTATCTCTTTCTGTGTATCTATGATCTATGTATCTATCATCTCTCTATCTCTCTATCATCTATAGTGTGGGTTTTCTCTCATGCATTCGCATATGAGCACATACATTTCCCCCCATTTATATTAGGCTTTTAGAGAAATACTTGCTTCTTTGTGCATTCACATTTCTTACATGATTTCCCTGGCACTGATAGGGAGGGCATTGGAGTTCACTTGCCTTAAAGATGTATTAAAGGACTCTACCCCCACCAAGCACCGTGATCATCCAATGTCAACATCTACATACTTACAGCATCATTTCTCATCCCTCTCACTTCCTCAGTGAACTAGAGAGCACAGCTAACTTCATTTGATCATCAGCCCCCTATGATTCTTGGCAAATGTTACCCCTGTTGGCAAAGATGTCCAGGTCAGCTCACAATTTACTATGTGTTATCTACAGATAACCCGGGGTGGGTTTTATCCATCTAAAAGAACTCTGGTCTCCATGCCACTAAATTCTGACATCTCTCTTAAGGCCTTAACAGCATCTAATGGTTCTATCTCTGGTAATGTGATCCAGCTGGAGATCCAAGGTATGCAAAGCCCTTGTTTTAGACAAAGGGGCATTTTTCTGCAGCCAGTGAGTAAAAGTGACTTTTTTTCAGCTATAAAAGGACAAGAGGGTTTGAGATGATTGCACTGGGCAGGGTTTCCTAGGCTTGTTATTTTGGCAGTGGGCCATATTGCTATGCCTGAGCCTTCCAAATTTCTTCAATTTCTTGTAGCAGCATGAAGAGCTCACTGGCTGGGACAAGTCTCTTTATGGTGTGATGATTAATGCCCAGTGTCTTCTTAACCTGGAGCCAACCACGGTGGGACATCCAACAGTGTCATTGGCAGACCATTGATCAGTGTGTGTTAAGAACTAAAGACTGAAGACTTGACTCTTTCCTATTGATTTAAGTTACTTTGCTGCCCTCTCTGGTTACATGTTTTTCTCCTTGAGAGAAAATATTTAACATTTAGTACTGTAGGTAGAACAATGATGGTAAACAGCCTGTAGTTTCAACCTTAGTCCCCATAGATGTTTGACTTAATGAGGAAAAACATTTTGTATCATTTTCAAGGTTTTAAGAGCTCTGTGTCTGAGTCTGTTTTGTTGATTTGTTAGGTCTATTTCATCACCTTAAAAGCAAGAATGAGCTTGTCCATTCTCACTGCCTGATTGCAATGGGAAATGGTCCACTTTTGGGCTCAGTCTCATTTCCTAAGAAGTTACTATTGCTGAGTCAAAAGAAGAAGAAAGTGGCTTGTGTTATAACAGAATGATTTGTTTTAAAACAAGTATTAGGAATCGGCATTGTAGGCACCATATGAAAATTCCTCTCAGCCACAAGCCTCTGTGATGTCTCAGTCGCTTCTAAATGCTTATGAATATTTAGTTGATTAATCCCAGAAGAAGCCATAGGGTACAGACTGTTACTATCCTTGTAGTATAAACAAGTATAGCAAACAGAAGTAGGTGGCTAAGACAGGATCTGAACATGCAAAATTGTTCTCTAGAATGTGCCTTCCTTTGCTGCCTTTTAAAGGACATGGCCTTACTATGTTACCCGGGCTGACTTTGAACTTCTAACACTGCTTTACCTTATGGTGTAGCTAGAAATACAGGCAAGCACCACCATTGTAGTGCCTGCTCTTTGAACTTGATTCAATTGTTACAGGATCACAAGATTGGTAATAGTATCATTATATTACAGATGAGAAATTGAAGCTTGGAAGGTTTAGCAACTTTTTTGTTGTTGTTTTCAGTTTTTTGAGACAGGGTTTCTCTGTGTAGCTCTGGCCATCCTGGAACTCACTCTATAGACCAGGCTGGCCTAAAACTCAGAGATTCACCTGCCTCTGTCTCCTGAGTGCTAAGATTAAAGGCATTCGACACCACTGCCCAACATGGGCTAGTAACTTCTAAGTGATGTTTCACACCTGGCACACAGCAGAGGTTTGTTGGGCCCCTCATTCCAAAGCCTTCCTCACGCTTTTCTCACACTGCAACATGTTCCTCTCAATTCAGCCCTTTGTCCACTTCAGAGAAAGCTGCTGCTGGCCAAGAGACATAAGTTAAGTATATCTGCAACACAAACTCCTGGGTCCACATGGCCCATCGAACTCCCCATTCGGGCTGTATGAGTTATTTCTATAAGGGCCACAGTGAGAAATGTTTCTCTTTCCTATAATATAAATAGCTGCAGGATCCAGTTTCTCAGCTATCCCTGCCTCTGGGACTTTGGGGTTTCTGTCCTTTGGCTTGGACGCTCTCTTGTCTAGATGCCTGTGTCCGTTTTATCACCCTGACGCCTCATTGTCAGGTGTGATCAACTCACTGGATCTGACCCTCAGAGCTGCATTAGTCTCCAGGGTGGCCATAACGGTTCAGCACAAGATGGGCAGTTTGAATGGTGTAAGTGGACTCTTTTTAGTTCCAGAGTACTGAAGGCATCCAGTGTGAAGGTGCTGCCCAGGCTGGGTTTCCACTGAGGACTGTGGTGCAGTATTCCTTCTTGCTTCTTCAGAAGCCTCTGTGCACTTTTTAGCTCACAGCAGTGTAACTCCCGGCTCAGTGTCTATGTAGCCTGTGGCTCTATTTCTCCCTTTCCATGTCTTTGGTTATAAGATCAGCACCATTAGATTTAAGACCCAACTGGATATTCCAGGATGACTGCATTTCAAGATCCCTAACTTAATTATACCTGCAAAGACCATTTCCAACCCCTCAGATCCACATCCTTAGGTGACAGAAGACTGTGTCTTTTGTGCTAACCACAGCCTTCATTGCCGTCCTGTGATGCCAGCATCTCCTCTAATTCCTTCAGAGCATTTGTCCTTATCTGATTCATCATATGCTTCTGTCCGCTTTTCTCTTGCCTGCCTCCATATACTTGATCTCAGACTTTAAGTAAAGAACTTTCTTGTTCACTTCTGTTTTTGCCAGGATATAGAAAAATGCTGAGATGATTGGAAGAGTTGTCAAATATTTACTGAGTAAAAGGATGAATATATAATAATATCATGTTATTTTGGGTCTTCAATTCCTTCAACAATTTTTAGGATTTTATTATATTTTTGTTGTTATATTATTTGAATTCATTTACATATTTTTAAAGAAAAAAAAACAAGTATATTATAACATACCTACTCTGCATAGTGGGTAAAACTATACAGCTTTTTTGATACAATTCCAAATTGCTAAATGGTCTTGTGACTTTTGCTTTTCCCCAGGAGAGACCCCTCAATAGAATCTCTCTTTTTGCCTTAGGATCTGATCACCTCCGAGAGAAAGATGGCCTCTGGGCTGTTTTGGTTTGGCTGTCCATTATTGCTGCCCGGAAGCAGAGCGTGGAGGAAATTGTTAGAGATCATTGGGCCAAATATGGCCGCCACTACTACTGCAGGTGAGGATGGGCAGGTTCTCTGTGTGTGTCTTGAGAACTACTCTTAGAGATGTTTTCTAAAACTGATGGGCTAGAATTGAACAAGAAAGCATCTTTTAGAAACATCCTAGGGACTGGAAGGCTGGGGTTGGCTGTTAGGGAGTACTGTCAAGGACTACTAAAGTGAAAGGACAGATTTCACTTGCCCTGGTGACATTCCCCCTTAATATTTTCATTGAAGCTATAAGGCAAATGGGTGGTCATGCCAAGAGGGTATCAAAACGCAGCACTTTGAGTAATTCCTTGTGATCCTTGGTTGCTGTAGTCAAAGCCGACACATTTCTTGTTTGTTCTATGTGATCTTTTAAAGGAGTGGGCAGACACAAAGCCACAATTGGGTGTTTTTGAAGTCTTCTCCCACCCTGTGTCTAATGCCCACACTAATGGTCAGAAGGCTTTTGTTATGGCTGAGCTGGGACTCTTTGCATGGCCCGCATGGCTCAGCAGCCCCAGATTTTTGCTGGAGGCTTACCCTGATAAAAAGAGACACAGAGAAGGGAAATTTTCTCTCTGAAGGAGGCAAAGGAAAGAATGGGGGCCCGGAACTCAGGGTAGCTGTTCTATCCCTTTCCTGTTGTTGAAGTAAAAGAATATTTCAAGGTTATGCCACCTAGGTGTGTGCCAGGTTGTGTACCTACTACCAAGCCTTGCTTAGGGGAAAGGGTGGTAGAAAGAATTGTTGACTCTGGGCAACTATGTGTGGGAAAGGGGACTTTTGGGAGCCTCAGACTCAGGGTTAGAGACAGAGGTTGGCTCATTCTGTTCTGCATACATGTGGTTATCAGTTTTGGATGTTCAGTTGAGTTTCAAGAGCTTGAGGGGCAAAGAGCTTTTGACTTTTCCCTTATGTGGCGATGTTTCTTCTTTTAAAAAGCATCTACTTAAATAAATATCAGAGAATAATGAAGACCTCGAGGGTACTTATTAAACTCTAAGGGACTTCAGTGTTCCAGGAAATAGAGACAACAGCCATAATAGCTTTGATTCCTGGTTAGTTAAGAAGACTGGGAATGTGAAAATAAATAAATCAGCATATTATACATTGAGGCATATAACAAATTCTCAAGGCAGGTGGGATCTTGTTTTGCCCATCAATATTTCTAACATGGGTCACACACCCCTGATCCTTGGGAAGTTTTATTTATGTATTTGCTTAATTTATATCCAAAGATTAGTTGCCACATGAATTTCTTCTGTTGCATGAAGATCTTACAAAGATTTCAACCTGACAAAAATATTTTGTGCTTGCTAGCTAGCTGGGCGATTACTCTGAGTCAGAGATATGTGCCTTATAATTTGTGGAATGACTGTTTAGGTTCCTGCGAGTGTTTTGAAGAAATGGTGTGATGATAAGTGTATTTATAACATACTTCATGTTTTGTGGCCAAGAGCTTGTAATGTTAATTGCTTCTTTCATAACAATACCATATTAGAGAATAGTATGCAATGGAGATTTAACTTCTTGCAGGACATTCAACTGTATTACAAATTTCTATCCAGAAAAATCACAGAGATTAAGAAGGGAAATAGGGGGCACGTACAGTGAAGGACCTGTGCAGACTCGTGCAATGCCAGCAAATAGCATGCCGAGGGAGAGGTGTTTTTGAAGTAATTGATTTCTAGCTGACATTTTTCTTGCCAGGGAGGAAATAATCAAACAATTTTAGTGTCACTAATAGTGAGACTAAAGTTGCAGCTGGGCACAGTCCCATAATTTTCTTTGTTTGAGTGAATTCCAGAAGCCATTCTCCACTCAGAGGTTACATCCCTTGAGAATGTGGTGCTGGTGGTGTCAGCTGGAGGGGCCATCAGGCTGCGGGGGGGGGGGGGGGGGGGGAGGGGGAGGGAATAACCATCCTCTCTACGCGGTGGGCAGCCAAATTTGGAGATGATTATCTGATGTTTGGAGAGACAATTTCTTTATGTTAGTGACTAAGGAAAACAAAGAAACAAACCAATGAACAATTTTTTTTTTAAAGCTCTGATTCCTGGCATTGCGACAACTGTGTGGTATGCATCATCATATTTCAAACTCCAAAACAAACAGGGCAGGGAGAATTTTTAGTCTTTCCCCCCCCCCTTTTGATCACTGCCCCAGCCCTACTATTACATTTGATGCTTGTGGATAGGAAGACTTTTTGAATGGAACAATTGTGACATTTCTTTCAAGTTCTCCAGGGATTTTTATAGTATGCTTAATTCACTTTCTTCCTCTCTCTTTGCTCTTGCCCCCCACCTCCCCAAATTGCTTCCTGATCCCAGACTACTTACATAGCATGCACTGTGCTCCAGAAACAGCAGAGAATATGAGAACTAAGGTCTGTGCCCTTTTGGACTCACATTCTGAAGGGCAAGAACAGATCTGAAAACAAGCAGGAGGGAATCTATAAGACAATGCAAAAGAAAATGTACAGGCGGTGACAGACAAGGGAAGGAAGGAAAGCTCCTTAAGTGGACGGATGCTCCAGAATATCACTATCAGGAGACCTGAAGATTGGAAGAAAAGGATGAGCCAGTGCTTGAGTGTACCAAGCCCAAAGAAACCTAAGAATGTATGAGGTGGAGGGGACAAACACCAAGTACAGAGTGGCAGTGACTGATGTGTCACCAGGGACTGAAGTGGAGGCCATGGTGGCTTGTGCAAAGTGAAACAAAGTCAGTTCCGATCAAGCTAAGTAGGGCAGGGTTGTATCTCATAGTGTGTGATAGTCTGCTTGGGGTTTTGTTCTCAACGTGACAGGAGTTTGGGGATGGGTTTAGAAGAAAGGAACAACATAATTTGAGTTACAAGGCCACCATGTGGAGACTGCCTTGTAGAGGCCGTGAGGAGAAAGCGAGGCGAGGCCCCCATAAACAAGCTTTTCTCCATCTACTTTCCTGGAACCAGGGCCATGAGGAATCTACCCAACTGCCAGTTCTCTGATTGGGTTTTATTCTTCCTGTGTGCTACCTTCCCCCAACAGGTTTGACTATGAGGGACTGGAGCCCAAGGCAACATACTACATCATGAGGGACCTGGAGGCCCTGGTTACAGACAAGTCATTCATTGAAAAACAGTTTGCTGTGGGGAGCCACATTTACAGCGTTGCAAAGACAGACAGCTTCGAATATGTGGACCCTGTGGATGGCACTGTGACTAAGAAACAGGTACTTGCTGGGGAATCATGGAAACAGGTGGATTAGGCAAAGCAGGTGGACAAAGTGTGTAGGACTGGAGAAATCTTTAGGGGTTGTCTTTTCTGTGCTCTTCAGTTAGAACAATAGAGTTCTCCATCTATGAAGAGGAAGCCCTCAATGAAGGTTACCTTATTACTGGTGGAGAGTGAATTAGAACCTGGGCCTCTCGGTCCTATATTGCTTATACCTGGTAACTGATGAATCAAGACCTCAAACAGGAATAGGCCCCGGATTTCCTTCTTTAATGGTAGCAGCCTACAAGTGCTTTTATGTGGTGGCTATTCTTGGTGATAAATTCAGAGAAGTTCCTAGAGCAAAATACCCCTGTCGTTGGAATCTCCCAGTGTATGGTACTTCATCTTCTGTTACCTTATGTCGTCAAGGAAACATAAGGGCTTAGATAAATTCAGTATCTTGGGAGGGAAAGAATAGTTGGAAAGTTTTCCTAGAAATCCCATGTGGAAGATTCATGGATGAATGCTAATCTCAGGCAAGTAGCAAAGCCAGCTGCAGCTTCAATTATGCTCTTGTTTTTGTGAATTGTATGAGAAAAGTTGATGTCTCTATAATGATTTTTTCCCTCCCAG